CGGGAGCGGCCACTGCACTCCAGTCTGGGCGACAGAGTGAGATAAAAAAAATTTATCGTAGGGACAAGATCTCGCCAGGTTGCCTAGGCTGGTCTCAAATCCGCTTGCTCAGGCAATCCATTCACCTTGGCCTCCTAAAGTGCTGGGATTACAGGCTGAGCCACGGAGCCCAGCCTGTATTATTTTTTAAAGATTCATAGATCTCTGTCATCTGATTTCTGATTTAGCTATTATAGTTCAGTTGTCTATGGCCAGCACTGATTTGATTCATTGGTAGCAAACAAGTTTTTAAAATGAGTTTTAAGCTAGGTGTGGTGGCTCTAATCCCAATACTTGGGGAGGTGGAGATGAGAGGATTACCCGAGCCCAGGGATTCGAGATCACCCTGGGCAACTTGGCGAGACCTCATCTCTACAATAAAAAAATAAATAGCCAGGTGTGGTGGCATGTGCCTGTATTACCAGCTGTTTGGGAGACTGAGGCAGAAGGATCACTTGAATTCAGCAGGTCGAGGCTGCGGTCTCTCTCAAGACAGGCATGGTGGTATGTGCCTGGGATCCCAGCTACTTGGGAGGCCGAGTTAGGAGAATCGCTTGAGCCCAAGAGTTTGAGACCAGCCTGGGCAGCGTAGAGAGACATGGTCTCTTTACAAAAAAAAAAAGAAAGAAAGAAAGAAAAAGAAAAAAGCCTTCTCAGTGTGTGGCACTTACTTCCTTTCACTTACACACGTTATCAAAATTCTCCAGTCTTTCGCCTGGAGTATGTCAACTCCTGGAATTCCACCAAGGGATGGAATCTCTCCTCCAACGGTCAGCATGAAGGCAAAATGTCACTGTGGAAGGCGGCCACGCTTCTCAACACCGAAGTCTCTTATGTGTTTCCTGTGCAGTCCTCAGGACAAGGGGTTGTCACCTGCCCATTACCACCTACCCAATGGCAGTGCAGGCCGGGGGAGGAGCCACAGAGGACATCCACGCCCACTGTGCATCAGGCCTACCGGGAGAGTCCCACGGGGTCTGATGACTCGGGGTGCACATGGCCGTCTTAACCCTGGACTCCTACCAGCTGACATTGATCATGACCAAACCTGAGCTGTGGGAGAGCCAGAAGAAATAAAATCCCGTGGGAGGAGGTGGTAATCTAGTTTAGAAGACAAGGCCAAGGCCAGTGAAACAATGAGCGAAATGGCACTGTCGTCTCCAATTGCCTCCTGTGGCCTCCTGTGGGGATGTAATAAACTGTTCAATTATGCAGCGCAGACAGTTGGGGACCGGGCAGGGTATATAATGTGCTAATTGTGCAGAACAGACAATGAGGGGCCTGGACAGGCTCTAATAGGCTAATTACGTGCTGCAGACAGTTGGTACAAAAGATGCCAAGGAGGCCGGGCTCGGTGGCTCAGCCTGTAATCCCACGCTTTGGGAGGCCGAGTGAGTGAATTGCCTGAGCCCGCGGGTTCAAGACCCGCCTGGGCAACTTGGTGAGACCTCATCTCTGCAATAAATCAAAAAATCAGCCGGGCGTGGTAGCGCGCCCCTGCAGTTCCAGCTACTTGGAAGGCTGAGGCGGAAGGATCGCCAGAGCCCAGCAGGTCGAGG